AATAAAAGCCACGCAACTCTGACCTCACCCCCACTCCAGGCACACACAGTGTGTGTGAGTCCCTGGTTTGAGGCTGGCTGGAGCAGCTGTGCAGTTAGAGGTGCCCAGGGAAAGGTGTCCTGCTCAGTGCTGCCTGGCCAGTGCTTGCAGAAGGAACTGCTTGCCAAGTCGCTATTGATTCCTACGGGCGACTCAGCCCTGACCATAGCTGAGCTGAGACTCTCACGAGAGAAATAGCTGCTGCCTTCAGGAGCAGATGAGTGTGGAGACAAACGCACTTGCTTAAACAGTCGTATTTTGTCCATTTTCAACAGGGCTCATCTTTTCTTTATTCTGTGAAAGATCCACTGATGTGCTGTGGCTATCGATCTCAAATCAAACAAACATGGAGAATTATTTTCCTCATTAAAATTCTCATATATGTTTAGGAACTTAAACACACACACACAAGTTAAAAATGTTTTTTGGAGACAGGGTCTCGCTGTGTCCCAGAGGGATTGAACTTCATGCTGTAGACCAGGTTGACCTCAAATTCACAGACATCTGCCTACTTCTGTCTCCAGAGTGCAGGGTTTAAAGGTCTGCACCACAAAGTCTGGCAGATGTGAGCTTTTTTTCATATCAATGTTTTTTCTTATTTCTGAGTTTTATAGATTTTTTAGTGAGTTCTTTTTCTTATCCAAGTAATAAAAGTACTCCTCATTTTCTGTTCTGCTGCCCAAGTAGTTACATTAAAATGTTCTTTAGACTATTAAGCAGTTTGGAATATGTTCTTATATATTATGTGATATTAGTATTTAAATTGATTTTATACATTGCTCATTGAATTGTCATAGTATTGTTAATTAAATAGTTCCAGTCTTCCTGATTTGAAATTCTCTTTTCTTCCCTTGTGTGTTCATGTGTGTGCAGGTGTTTGTGTGTGTGCATATGTTTGTGTGCACATGCTTGCTTGTGTGTGCACTTGCATGCATATGAGTATGAACATATGTATACATGCGTGAGTGTGGAGGCCAAAGGACACTCTCCACTTACTCGTTAGAGTCATCCACTTTGTATTTTGAGACGGGGCCTCTCATTGGCCTACAGCTTCTGGAGCAGGCTGGCTGGTCAGTGAGCCCTGGGGGAGCTTCCTGTCTCTGCTTGCCCAGTGCTTGGATTACATATGTGACCCTCTATGACCAACATCTTTTGTATATGGGTCATGGCAAGTGTGAGTCAGATGCTCATACTTGTACAGGTCAATCTCCTGAGCCGTCGCGGCAGCCCTGCCGTTTTCTTGGTACAGCAACTCCTTTCATCTGTGTGTCTGTTTCTGCCTTCTTGTTCTGCTGTGTGTGTGGGCACAGTGTCCGCGCAGTTGGGCTTTTCCATACTTACTCCAGGGTTCAGGTCACTGTAGCTGCCCCGCCTCATAGCACCATGAGGTGCAGACTGCAGCTCCTCAGAGCCTGGCTCATTGTGAGTACTCATCAAAGGGTAATGTGTTCATAGGCTTTGGCTTTGCAAACCGTGCTGGTGACGCCTCATTGTTATGGTAGTCACGGTCATTGTCATCGTCATTTTCTGTCTCCCCTAAGCCAGGCTTACACCTTGATTTTTCTGTTTGAGACGAAGTCCACTTTATCAGGCTCTTGAGCACAGGGGGCGCCACCGTGGCTCTGACTGAAACTGCATTTTGTTTGTACACAAAGCAGGAGGCCTGGCGTCTTATTCGGTTGTGCTGTCTCACCTACAAGGCTGTGACTCTCCAATCATTTAGGTTTTGCTCTGTGTTTTTAATTATGAGGAGACCTAAGCATTGATTTTTCTAACTTCCCCCTTGCTGTGGCTCAGATGGGCCCTCTCACCTTAGAACAGGGTGAGTTTCCTCTAACTCTTTGAGATATATTTTCTTCTAAGTCCTTCGAACAACCTTAGGGATTTCAGTCGTTAGAAGATGAATTGGAAAGGAAGAAGGAAAAGGAAGTGCTAGTTTTAAACACCCGTGTATCACATATGTTTATTTTTACTTAATCTTAGGGAAGTTGGTTATCCCTCTTTTATAAGTGGGTAATTGATGTTGAGAGAAACTAAGCTGCCAGGCCAGGGCTCATTGTAAAAAGGGAAAGGACTTGGCCCTGGGCTTTGGGAGGCCACAGCCCCACCAGCTATGCTGCCCAACGTTTCTGCATTTATTATTTGTCTTAGAGGACGCTAACCCCAGACAAACATCTGTTCTTGGGCCAGGTTGCTGCTCCTAAGGCCTGTTTCTAGACCTAGCAGTGTGGCCAGCATGATGCAGCCCTTCCCAAGAGCCAGACTTGCTAACACGGTCAAAGCAGCTTGGTCAGGCTAAGTGACTTACTTCCTTAGGAACAAGGATCAGAGTGAATAGAGGTGTCTGACCTGGAACTCACCTCCTACTGACTATCCGTAGCCACGGACACGGGCGGACCCCTTTCCCAGCAACAGCAGCTGCCTCTCCGTCAGCAACTGTCAGGTGCTGCTTGCCTAGGCTCGCACACCCATCTTTCTTAGATGTAGAACGGAAAGTTAAATGCTTGCTTTTCTCTGTATGTGCAAATCTGGACTCATTGCTAGCCTGGATCATGATGGAGTAATCTTGCGCAGTTCTGGGCTCTGAGACCTCTGGAGTCCAATCTGCTCTGGTCTCTACTAGCAAGATGATCAATCAACCCAAAAGTCAAAGGGCTCCTGGCTTTCCTTAGGACCTCCAGAGATGGAGACGTAAGACAGGCTCCAGACTCTAGAAGGTTTATGTTCACTTAAAACAACTCTTTCATCTATTGTGGGTCCAAGTGATATTTCAGTTATGATCCCTTTGGGGGTGCTTATCAGATATTTACATTACAGTTATGAAGTAGCAGCAAAATACTTTAGTGGTTGAGGGATCAGCACATGAGGAGCTGACTGTATTGAAGGGTCACAGCATTAGGAAGGTTGAGGATCATTGTACTAGATGAAAATGCTTTGCTGTGGGGAGGATGGGGTTGACATCTCTGGTTTGTGCTGGAGGACTCCTGTTCTTTCTGGAGTATTTCCATATGTGAAAAGTTGATCTGTTCCACTTGCTATCTTGGTGATAGTTTGCAATGGAGGAAGACCTGAGTGTCTGGAAAGACACTGACATAGAACTGATGTCTTTGGCCCATCTACCGGCAATGACTACCTGACATACAACATGCCATTGGGACGGGCATGCAGGGTAGTAAGACAGAGAAAGTAGGTCGAGACTCTTGTCCACAGACTGGACTATGATCTAGTGATCTAGTTAAGGAAATAGTCCCCAGTTACTTAGACTTTTTTTTTTTTTTGGAGGGGGCACAATTTCCTGTCCATTAACGGAATCAAGAGATAGAGACAAAAATGTCTCTGTTATGACCGAGAAAGCTAATCCTGGGGATATAGTTTGTATCTGTGGGGAAGGGTTCTACAAGTGGGCCCTGCAACACACAGACATATCCACCTGTCACGGTTAGCACGAGCAAATCCTAGGCCTCTCCTCCACCAGTCCTCACCCTGCCCTTTGTGTCTCCTCCCACAGCTTATAAAACAGGGGAGCAGAGTTCTTGTCTCCTAAATTACCAACCCTTTCCTCATGAGGTTACATGGAAAGATGTCCCTCCAAGCAGGAGGTTCCTGCCTCCTTACTAGCCCTGGGGACCACCTCGAGATGAACTCTACAGCAATGTGAATTTTTGATACCAGCTGTCTATTTAGACAGAAAGGAAACAATCAGAATGATAAGTGTTTAATCAGGGAGCATTTATTTCTGAAATGACAGTGAGCAGAACTGCGCAGAGAGAGGCAGAGCTTTACCAATGCCTCTGTTGAATTGTGGGGAGTTCACGATGAGCTGGAACTCTGGAAAAGGGACAGAGGCTCCCTAACATGATGGATGTGGTACCCTCAAGATCTCAGAGTACTGGGCTCTTGGCAGCTGGAATATAAATATGCAATGCTGTCCTACCGAACAGGCCCGAGGCATCAGGCCCAGCTTGCTGTGCAGTGCAGGGGAGGCTCTGAGGACTGAAGCCCTACAGGAAGTGGGGCTGTGAGGAGGATGCTGAGGTGAGGCTCCTGCTCTCCACAGGGGTGTGGCTCCTCCCATCTGGTTTGACACTAGAGTGATACAGTAGGAGTACTTCCTGATTTCCATTTCAAAAAGCCTCATGGAGTTTTCTTTGGAGCAAAAGGATGGTGTTTTCCTGACGTGTTTGCTCTGTGTTGACAGCTAGAATGTGGCCAGGTGTTGCTTGGCATGGTCACACTGTCTTTTCGGTTTACTCTTGCTCACTTCAGGACGAAAGGTTTCAGGTCCCACAGGTTCTGCAGAGGCCCCAAAGATGTAGTTACAGAAGCCTTCTAAAAACAGTGGGCATTCCAAGGTCATGGTTTTCTTGGTTTTGAAATGCTATTCTTTTTGAACTGTGGATTTTCCTTCAAAACCTGACAGTTAAAATTATGCAGAGGGAAAGAGGATGAACATCAATCATGGGTGTGTATTTTGGTAACCAACATGGCATATTTTCACTTGATCTGTTTTCTGACTGCTTTTACAGTTTAGGGTTATTCATACTTGCACACAAATTCAGTTTTTGGCCCATGCTTGCTCAAGCGTGCGCACGAAACAATAGTTTCACAGGTTGCACTGGACAGTGGCATCCTCAGCCAAGGAAAGAGTCTGTCTGAGCTTGGCAGTGCCCTGCACTCTGTGTTACCCTGTGCTCTCAGAAGCCTTCAGTTCTCTGTTCTGTGAGATTTCAGACTCTGTACTGACATGATGATGTGACCGTAAGGAGGTCCCCACTGTGTAGCTGTGTGGTCACTCTGCAAGGTTTCATTCCGCAAGAAAGGGGTGACTGTGGGATTCTCCCACACCTGAAGTAACAAGAGCATTTAACAGTGAATTCATATATGTTCCCGCCCAAGTTTGATCCTCTAGCCCCTCTGACGAGGCTGCAGACAACTGACCACCCTTTTGATGTTCCCTTCAGGGACACCTGTATGGTTTTTTGTGAAGATTGCGCCAATCCGGAATGAGCAGGATAAAGTGGTTCTGTTCCTCTGTACCTTCAGCGACATAACCGCATTCAAGCAGCCAATCGAGGATGACTCATGCAAAGGTTCGTAATCTGACTTGCGCAAGTGCATTTAAGACGGTTTTGTCCCCCCTTGACTCTCGATTTTGCTACAGAAAATTCGAGGTTGCCAAGGCAATCTTGCTCAGAGATCAGGATTTAAATCTTAGTTTGTGTTGGGTATTATGTGATTCTGCATTGTGCCTGGGGAAGAGAGAGACAGAAAACCAAGCATTGCTTAGTAAAGCATTTAGAAGCTAACCATTTTAACTGTTATGGTTTTGATGCAATAAAGCAGTCAGGCACATCTGACCTCACCAGGACTCTTCCAGGTTTTCCTCCCCTTTTCCTCCATGCCTCCCCCACTGGAGATTAAACATACGGTCTTGTAGATGCTAGGATTCACTCCTGAAATGTTTTCACAGTCACGTGCATGGGTAGGCATGGCCATACCGTGTTTATGACTTCCATGTGGATGTCTTGTGTCTGTCTGTAGATGGTTGCAGCCTCTTCCACTCAAAACAAGACATCAGGCCATGATAAACCTGAAAGGGGAGATGCCATGACCTGAGATGTTAGTAAATGGCTGTGTGTCTGCCTTGGTCTTGACACCAAAACATGGGCTAAACTAACATATTTGAGCTGTCACAGACTTAGGGAAAAGTTAGATACACTCACACACCATGCACCAGCCTCTGAACCCATGCATGTGTCTAAATGTGACTGTGTGTGCCTGGCTGCATTGTGCCTGCTATTTGATTTCAAACGTGGCATTACTGAGGCCAGCGACTTGAGTAACATTTCTGTAGGGGTCATCTGACCGGCTGTACGGCCTTAGATTTTCACCAGATTGCAGTAGTGTATTGTTTGGGTAACAGCAGAGACTTTGGAAAGGAGATGACAGGATCACTGGGAGGGTTCGACTCCTGCCAGGCCCAGCTCACTGGGCTACGAAGGGCAACATGCTGTTGCCAGGGGCTGAGATCACAGGGTATCTGAGTTCCTCTTTCAACTCCCCCTCCTGCAGTTTTCACGTAAGTAACCAAGAGCCCAGCTATTTCATGTTGCCAGGCTACCTGGCTCTGTGGTTGGCTTTCTACTCCAGAGCTCTGCTCTTGAAGATTCCTAGGATACAGCTGAGAAATGCCAGCATAGTCCAGGGGAGAGACAGGCTGGGGCGTGTTACCCTGGCTGTGACAAAGACTCTTACATGATCATCGTTGTGGCGGGAGGACCCATGTGTGCCCTCGGTCTGTAACTCTGAGGATGTTTAAGATCCTGTCACATTTAGACACGTTCATGGAGTTGAAATCAGAGTGCTGTGTGCACCAGTGTGTGCCCCCTTTTCCAGACTATGGTAGCTCAGAGTGTCTATTCCAGACAGCTCCCCGGTTTAAGACCCCTGTAGTGTCTCCTCCCCCAAGTCTCTCTCTCCTTTCAGGAGTCTCCCGGCCCAGTTTCTAGTTTTGATGTGGAGATCCCTCAGAGTAGCAGATAGTAGTATATGGTGGCTCTCTGAGAACAGCTGCTTGCTTCTTTCAACCCACCAGACTCAAAAGGAACGCTTTAAGGGCATTCAGATATTTTGACAATTATTTTCCAAGTGTTTATTTAGACCATTTAAAACACGTGATCTGGCCATGTCCGATGTTTTCTGCTGAGGCTAGTGGCATGTACTTACTGTTACTCTAGTAGGAGAGGCACAGCCTTCCGAGAGAGTGCTCATGTGACATGTAAGTGTCTACTTGATTCTCACAAAACCCGAGAGAAGCGATGAATCAGAATGACGGTACGAGACTTGTTTGGGTCTGTTTTCCAAGAATCATGTGCTCCACTTACTTAGCCGTCCTTTCCTCCCTGCCTCTCAACTATCCCCTACTAGCCAAGGCAACTTCTTGTCCTGTACTCACTTTTATTGAATACAGGACAAGAATAATATTTCATGCAATAACATGAATAACACGTGGATATTGGTAGATACTTTAGAACATACACATATTTGACACATATTTACATATAGACACCTGTGCATATGCAGAAAATGTATGCACACATGTGAATTCATGTACATGCACATATGTGCACAGGCATGCATACCATGCATACATGCACACAGCTATGTATAAACACATGCACATGCTCACACACATTAGCTGTCAATGTGAGGATCCCGGTAGGGAGTCCAGCTTAATGCTGTCTCAGAAGCATGACTTTGTAAACCTCCTTCCAATGCCGTGTAACGCTCCTGATCTCCTTGCCACCACATCACCGGCCCACTGTGGTATGGTGGTCCGACTATTTATGATGGAAAGGCCTGGGAATCGGTGCAGTCTGATCCAGATGGGAAAGGTGCTGCCGTGTGGCTGGATGGCTCCGGTTTGCCCTTGCTCTCTGGGCATGCTCTTGGTTCATTTCAGCTGACCCTGCAGGGTTTGCAGCTCAGCACCACAGTCAGCACCAAGTCCTTAGAGTCCTGCTTCCCTGGGCTTGTTCAGAATTCACTTGTGAGCTAGAATGGAAGGCAAAGCTCCCCAATAGCCTCAGGGTGTTTTCTGCTAGCTGGTTAGCTTTATAACTCACGTGTGTTCAAATTGTGTTTCAAATGACTTGGCTTTGATCATGCACTTCACATTTTGAGTGCCTGGGTGGTGTGGGTGAGTCCAGAGAATGGTTCGGGAAGCCTGCTTGTGCCTAACACTTTCCTCTGAACAACTGACTCAGCCAAGGGCAGAGAGCCGGACGATAGAGAGTCGGCTATTTTAGCATGGAGCCCTGGGCGCTGCTGGAGCCCTGGGCGCTGCTGGAGCCCTGGGCGCTGCTGGAGCCCTGGGCGCTGCTGAGGGATTCTGTGGTGTTTGTTTAGCTCCTCTTCACCCACAGCTCTCCACTCGTCCCCTTGCTTCCATCTTTGCTTTGCTATTCCCCTTTGACTAATTCCCTAACTCTGACGAAAGTGACACACACATGTCACTGAGCAGGGACTGAACGTCAAGCAGGGTTTTCTGTTTGGTAGCCAGTGGGTGGGTTATACAGAGGCTAAATCAGGCTCGGCCACTCGGACTTTATCTCTCTCCTTCTTTTACGGAGGGCAGGTGGTAGGGCTTGGCTTTGCTCCTCTGAGCTCAGAGACTGAACATGTGGGGAGAAGAGTGTGAAGCTTTGACCTTTGACCGTCAAAGGGTGAGTCACCCACTTGCGGCAAAGGTGCAGACTCACCCCTGTGTTGAGCATTCAGAAGTGAACATGACAAAAGGTGCTGCACATATGAAAGGGAGAACCCCAGAGAGGACTTTCTAAGATTAGATTATTGGAGGATGAGGGCTCCTTTTTCCAGTGGATGAGTCAGAGACGTATTACAGCCTTTCTCCTTCAGCGCCGACATACCGTCTTTGCCCGTGGGATAATGGAGAGGTTCTTAGCGAAGCTGCTTAAGGAGCAGTTGTAGACGTCATAGTTGCACATTGATGGGGGAAAGACTGGAAGGGATGCTTGGGGGCACAGACAGTGTCGCACTCTGGCCACTTGTTTGGGTCCACAGTTCATTGACACTCAGGCCGTGGTTCATGCTGGCCTCCCATGTGTTCAGTGTGTCAGTGTTGCTCTAAGCTGAAGGAGAGCCTATCCCTGAAAGAGAATTTGAAGAGTCCCGAGGCACACCAGCTGAGCAATTCAGCATACGTGGGAAGACGTCCACATCACCTGCAGGGTCTAGGCTGTCCCTCCCACTGACCCCAGTGGAGCTCCAACACTGTGCGCCAGGTCTGAAAGTGGCAGTGTTCTGTGTCTCTCTCTTCCTAGCGTGGGGTATTGGGCCGAAGGGGCTGCCAGTGTCCTTTAGAGCATGGTGCTTTTGAGTGAAGCCAAGAGCTGGTTTATTGTCCTAGTATTGACCAAAGCTTATCAGACAAAAAATTCTCAAGGTTATAGAAAGACCAAGCCATTCTCCCTAGTCCCACAGTCCCCTGGATCCTAGGTCAGTCTTGGGAAGGTGCTCTAGGGTAAGCTTAGAAGATGATGTTTCTTCAGAAGGCACCAAAAGCTGGGAATGACGGACATCGCCTTGGTCCCAGCATCGTGTGCAATAACAGTTGCATGCTCTGTGTATTTGCTGTGGACCCACAGGCATGTGTGTGGAGATTTGGTCTTCAGGACCTACAGGTTTTCAGAGGTCTCATGGCATAGCTGCCTGGTCAAAACCTTGATTCAGATGCTGCCTGTTGAACATCGTAATGTCGTACCTGGGGTTCTTTAAGGGCAGTAAAGATCACCTAGATTCTTAGAATCTCAGAAAACACCTGCTTCCATGACCTTTCCCCTCCCAGTACCTTCCCTCATACACCCAGAAGTCGGCCATTCACTCCTGATCTCGGAGAAGACAATGCCACCACGTCTAGTCGCATCATGCACAAACTCCAGTTTGCGGCTCAGGTTCTGCAAGATCAGATGATGGAGGAGTTGAGACGAGCCTGAGGCAAGCCACCCAAGGCAGAGAGCAATCTCCATCACCTGGTGTGAGCCAGTGACAGAGTCTTAAGCAGAGGAGAAGTCTGAGTTCTAGACACTTCCTCTGAATGTGGGTGCGCTGGGCCTTTATTTCCTTATTTGTTTAAAGTTTCTGAAACCTGCCCTGCTGGGTCTCAAGGCTATGATCAGAACGCAGCTCACACATGCTGGAAAAGCAAGTTGCTGCCCAAACCTCCACACTTCAGGACACATTTCTGACCTGCAGGTCTTGCTTGCAGGCATGCAGCATGCACTTATGGGAACTCTGGAGGACACTGGGCAGTGTCCTGTGGTATCGCTGGATGCAGATGCCTGTGTTCTTTTGGTGTGTGGCTGACCTTGTGTTTGTGTTTCTAGGTTGGGGGAAGTTTGCTCGGCTGACCAGAGCTCTGACAAGCAGCAGGGGTGTCCTGCAGCAGCTGGCCCCCAGTGTACAGAAGGGCGAGAATGTTCACAAGCACTCACGCCTGGCAGAGGTAAGGGTGGGCAGAGCCCACCAGCCTTACTTCCTGGGGGCATATGGGGTGGTATGCCAGTGTGGAAGGGGACCCTTGGGACCCCCCCCCCAGCTTCTTGGCTGGGACTTTGGTTTGTCTGGATGCTATAAACTCTTCTCTGTAACCTGTTGGCTGTTGCACTTTGCCGTGTCTGGCAGGGTGGAGAGAGGTGTCAGTTCACTTTTCTTAGGACACAGCAAGGAGCTGGAATTGCCTCTTATTTGTAAAGGAGACCTTTAAAACAACTTACATGGTACAGGAATCGAAAGGAAGAAAATGAAAATCTCCTGCACTCTCTGGCCATGTCGCATTATTTGGTGCACATTAAATGCTTCCCTCTGGACACAATCCTATTCCTAAGGAGGAAGAACTCCACCTTTAATGTTTATGGGGCTGAGATGTATCTGAGAAGGGCCATGTCTTTTTTTCTTTATTGAGAAGAATCATTTGGGTGGTGGTGGCAGCATTTATTTATTTATTTATTTATTTATTTATTGGTCATGATGTGGGGCTCAGCTTATGACTGAAAGATTGCTAAGCAAGGTCTTACAACTCACAGATGCTTTCTCTCTGTTTCTTCCTCTTGTTGATGAGGGGACTTTCGCTCCTGCTTGTCCTCCTGGCTTCTGTGTTGCTCCTTTTATGTGGATCCCAGGCTGGCTTTTCCCGTTAATATCTACGTGTCAACTCCTTTATTACAAGTCGTTGCTTAACTACCATTTCCCCGCGTAGCAGTCAGGGTTTTACCTGAGAAGTAGCTAAGAGATTCACTGCAAGGAACTAGCCTGTTTGATTGTGGTGTTTGGCTGTGCATCGGCTGGTCAGCAGACTAGAACACTCTTAGCAGGAGACAGAGCTGAAGTGATGGGTAAATTCCTTCTTTCCTTGCATGTCTGTTGTTTTCCCCATTGCTGTGGCAAAATACTTAACAAAAGAAACTGGGGAGGGTTTGCTTTGGCCAGGGATTGAGGGAATGAATTCCACTATGGTGGGGGAGTCTCATGACGGGAGTGGGAGGCAGCCGGCCATGCTGCATGCACACTCAGGAAGCAGAATGATGAATGCGGCCCTCAGCTCATTTCCTCCTTGTTATTCAGTCTGAGACCCCAGCCCATGTGGGGTGGGTCTTCCCTCCTCGCTTAACTCTCTCTGGAACCCCTTACACAGACAAACGCCCAGAGATCTGTCTCCTGGGTAACTCTAAAGCCTGTCAAATTGACGGTCAGGATGAGCTTCACACCAGGACAACAGCCTTCTGGTGTTGAGGCCTTTCGTCAGGGTGGACGAGTCCTGGCACAGCACAGAGGGCATTTCCTGTCCCCTCAACATTACTGGCCAGATGTTAATGAGGTCTGAGACACCCCTTTACAGGGACGGGCACATCTGTGTTTGCTCGACGGCTGGGTGCCAGGGCTTTCATTCTCTCGTCGGTGGAGTGGTCACTCGTTTCCTGCAGCCATGCTGACCTCCCAGTAAGAAAGCAGCAAAGTTGCAATTCTGCATTTCATGGTCATTGTCCCGTGTTCGGTGGAAGACACCACCGTTTCCCAGAAGGGGACACGGCATCTTCAGTGACTGCACTTTACCAATACCAATATGTAATGCTGACTCTTATTGGCCATGTTATATCACACGACAAGGAGACAGAAAAGACAAAAATAATAGCATAATTAAGCAAGGGGAGGACAAGTGCCTCATCCACTTCTTAACCTGCTTTAGGTATTTTTCCCAATACATAGTATGTCTTATAATATAATATACCATCTACTTAAAATTTTTATCTAGTCACTTATGTGTGAGAGTATGTATGCGTGTATGTGCAGATGCATGTGCTCAGACAACAGAAGAGGACATGGAGTGTCCTCCATCACTTTCCTTATATTCTTTCGAGGCAGGGTCTGTCTCTCCCTGAATCTGGGGCTTGCATTTTCATAGCTCAGTTAGAGACTGGCAAGCCCAGCATCCTCCTGTCTCTAACCCCCTTAGAGCTGATATAACAGGCATGTGTGTGATGTCTGGCTTGTTACATACGTACAGGGATCTGAACTCTGGTCCTTTGCCACTACTCACCATTCCTCTGTTGAGCCATCTCTGGTCCAAACCTACCCTTTGTTGTGCCTGTTGTTCGGGGATGAGCTCATGGCCTTAGAACCACAGCTAGCACTGAACAGCTGTTCGTAGTGTGACTTAATTCATAGAAACTGATTTAATGAATGAATGCAAGAAGGAAGTGACCTAGTTATTACTACCTGTCTGGCCCCTTGATTCCAGAGTGAGGCAAGAATCTGGGCCTCGTCCCAGGAAGCTTCGGCGGGTGCCTTACTGATCTTGTCGACCTTTACGGACTACTAGCTTTTGTATTTTGCTGATTTTTCTCTGTTGCTTTTCTGTTTTCCATCTTCTTGGTTTATAGGTAATTGATAAATTGAGTAGATTTAGTTATTTAGCCTTCTTTGGATTTAATTTTCTCTTCTTTGTCTAGTTCCTTAAAGCAGATGTTTGGATAACTGATTTTGAGCTTTTCCTCTATCAAAATGTAAGCTTTGATAAATTATAATTTTAGTTAAATTTTTATATATTTAGTTAAAATACATCTTTGTGTGTGTGTATGTGTTGTATTTGTGTATGTGTGTATGTGTGTTTATGTGTATGTATTGTATGTGTGTACATGTGTGTGTGCATGTGTATGTGTTGAATATGTGTATATATGTGTGTGTATGTGTGTGTATGTATGTGTTGCTGCATGCACCCATGCACACTCAGAGGCCAGAGGAGGTCATCAGGTGTCCTGCAAGTCACTCTCCACTTTATTCCTTTGAGACAGGCCCTCTCACTGAACCTGGAGCCAGGCTGGTGACCAGCATGGCCCAGCTGTCCTTCTGTCTCTGCCCCAGGCAGTGCTGGGGCTGCAGGTGGGTTTGTAGCCACATCTGGCTTTTTACATGAGTGCTGTAGATTTGAACTTGGGTCCTCATGCTTGAAAAGCAAGTGTCTTAACCACTGGGCCGTTTCCCCAGTCCTCCTCATAGTTCTTGTCTCAGACTTAGATGCTGCTGTGTGTCAGCGCAGCATGGCTATGTATTCTTGCAGAACTGGCCCCTAACTATCACGCCGCCCTGATAAAGTTGTTTCCTCCGAGTCTGTTGGAAGCGGATGTAGTTACCCTGCTTTCATTTGATTAGTGCCGGGCCGGTGCAACCTTCCCCATCTCGTCCCCATCTCATATTTAATACAGGGCTACAGACAGCGTGTGGCTGGATTCTTTTTAAACCAGTCTGACAGGCTAAGCTTAACGTGATTATGGAAGCTCAGGCTGCTGGCTCTCGTGTCTGGTGCCTCTGCTCTGCTCACTGCCCTTGGTTTTCTCTCCTGTGGTCTTTTCTTCTCATTTTGTTTTTAGCTCAATATTTTTATATTTCAATTTTTGATTAGATAAAATGTACTTCCGTTTGTGTATGAGTATGGTATGTGTATGTGTATATGTGGTTTTGGGTGGGTACATATATGTAGGGGCATGTGCACATGTGTATGTGTAAGTTAGAAGTCAGAGTCAGGTGTTGTCCTCAGTCACTCTGCGTTGGTTTTGAGACAGGTCCTCACTGAATGGGGAGCTGCACCTCTGTAGTCAAACACATTGTCACTATTTCTCCTACATGTATGCATGCATGTATGTATACATGTATGTGTGTAGGTATGGCAGTCAAAGGAGAATTCAGGGAGTCAGTGTTCTCCCTCTACCACATAGATCCTAGGGGTCAAACTCAGGTCACCAGGCTTAGTGACCGGCGCCTTTACCCACTGAACAATCTTGCTTACCAATGTGCCTATTATTTTGATTAAACTTATTTAATAATAACAAAATGAGACTTATTTACCTTTACTCTCTCTCTGAGAGTCTTGCAGTCTCTAAGTATACTTGGAGTAGGACCTGTGCCGTTTTCCTTCTTTGGAGTGAACTTTACCTCCTCTGTTTTTGTGAAGCCCATCTACCGAGCAGCATGCTCACTTGATCTATATTTGTCTGAGAAAATCTGTTTCCCCTTCCCTTTGGAGTGGGTGTGATTATGTGTGGTACAGATGTGCAGGTTGGTGTGCATTCTGTCTGCACGCTTTTGTTTGGTTTTGAGGTGGTGGTGGTGACCCTTATCTTTATATCTCTTAAGGTGAGCGTTGTCAGTCAGATAGACTCTGACGCCCCTGGGAGTCAGCATGCCTGCGAGGGATGGTCTAGACTGTGTTCTCTGTGGGAACCTGTCCACTGTGGGAGGCACCCTTCCCCGGCTGGAATCTTGGATGTGTAAATGGAGAAAGGGAACTGGGTAGCAGCAGACATCCAAGCCCACGTACTGAGTGGCTTTAAGCTCTTGCAGCCTTGACTTGACTCCGCTGCCATGGTAGACATGCATCTGAGACATGAACCAGGATCGCCGTTTCTCCTCAAGTCGGTTTTGAAAGAGTATTTGAAGACAGCCGCGGAAAAGACACTGAGACAGTTGGGCCATGTTTCTATCTACGGCTCCTCTCAGGATTGCTGCTGCTTCTGATATTTATGTAGCTTAATGTGGCATGCCTAGGTTTGTTTTATTTGGGGGGCAGCATCCTGCTCCTGGGATCTGAGACCTGTGGCTGACTCCAGTCTGGTGAAGACTCAGTGCTTAGTCTCCCTGCGCGTCTGTGGTTACACCTTCAATACTTGTCCTGGTTTTTGGATATTCTGTTCTGGTTATTATTATTATTATTATTATTATTATTATTATTACTTATCCTTCCTTTTCTTTACAGTTTCTAATATTTATAGTGGTTTATGCTGGAGCTCAGAGATTTGGGATCACCTCTGCTGAATCCTGCCTCCTAAGGATCTCATCAAATCTGTTTTCATTTTGGCTACTATGTTTTCTTGATAGTTAGTCTTTCTATTTGGCTCTTTCTAGACTGGCCATGTCTGTGTTCCCATTGCCCATCTGCTCTTGCATGTTGTC